TGAGGGGGTGGGGGCAGAAAGTGGAAATGAAAGCAGACAACAAAACATTGCTAGAGAGCAGGAAAGGAGGTGAAAGGAGACAATTTTAGAGAAGAAAATTTTTCGGTTGCTACCCTACTAGAAAGCACCAACGTGTTCATTTAATTTGAATAATCTCCATTTCTTAAAACACGTAGGAGACCAAAGTACGATTTCTGAGTGGGGAACATTTTTGTCGAACATATTATATCCCTCTCATCCCGGGATGGCCCGACAGGCAGGGTCCGAAGCCTTCCACATAATGAGCTAAATTGTGTTGTTAGGGGCGTAAAACACCAACATTTTAAAACAATGCTTTATGTTTCCTTCTGCGGGGAAGATGTGTGTGTGTGGCGGGGAAAAAGGGGGGGGGGGTCATTTTGATAAAGCGGAGAGACCCCCATATGTCTCTGTTTGGTTTAATTCAAAGCTAATACAGAACCGAAATTTCCCTTCTTGCTGAAAACCTTGATCTGATTTATTTGTAGCGGCAACAGCTCATTCGTTGAGTTATTAAACCTGTCTTCGGACAAACGGAGTAAAACCTTCGCATGTCTCAGAACGACAGTGTTATATATAATAATATGTCGAACTAGTTCCTGGTATCGTTATTTTTTTTTTTTTAAACCCATGAAAAAATACACCTCGAATACAAACGTGGGCGGGGCACGTTTCCGGATACTGGTCAGTGATTACGAAGTCGCGAAATCGTGTTCCTGGCTCTGTGTGTGTGTAGACCACCGCTGGCTAAGAAATGCGCCTTCAACACATGAATACAAGGATTTCAAAATATTTAAACGAAAACGAATACACTATTCACAGGCAAAACAGTCTGAACTTTAGGATTAAAGCACTTCTTTTGCGAAAGAAAAGAGGACAACTTCCATTTTGAAGATCAGCTGTTCAGATGTACTGAGCCCAACATTTTGGTTTTTTTTCCAGATTCTTAATAATATGTCGTAGCGGTTACATGTGCACAAGACAAGAAGCATTTTCTTAAAATTCCAATTCTAAATGTTGACCAAAAAGCAAAAAATATAAAAATACAAGATTGAGGTAGAACGATTCAGAATTGAAACATAAATCTAGTACGTCTTTCGCTTTCCCGTTTGCTTTCAGGGCTTTGAACAAAAACGTAGAGCCATCTGTCCCTCTCTCTCTCTCTCTCTCTCTCTCCT